CTTTGCTTCGGACCCTGGATGTACAGTGGGTGGAAGGACTAAAGGATGCCCAGATGCGGGATCTCCTGTCTCCACCCACAGATAATAGGCCAGGTGTGTTGCCAGGCTGGAACTGTGCCTGGGATCATGTGGGGTGGGGTCATGGAGCTGTGCTGTTGGATCTGGATTTGACCACAGACCATCACTGATATGTCTGTCATCCAGCCTACTAAGGCCTCATCCCCTCTGTGGCAGATGCAGGGATGAGTTTCTGCTGCTGTGTGTTCAATGGGGATTTGGGACAAGGCAGAGGTTCCTTTGCATGTGGGGATTCTACTCCTGGGGGCTCTACATGCATCTGGCTGCTTTTCTGTTAACTTGTCCTTTGTTGGCTTCAAGCCTCCATGCCTTCTGGGTCAATGTTATTAGACAAGGGCAGGGGCCAGGATGGTGCCCTTCTAGTTCAGGCTACCTGAATCTGGGCTCCTCACAAATAGTTAAATGGCCATGGGGACCTGCTGGTTGGCCTACTACTGCTGAGTGGAATGTGGGCTCAGTATTTCTAGATGCTTTATCAAGTAAATATAGAAATTTAAACTTTGGTGTAGAATTTTTATTTTTTTTTAAATTTTATATTATTATTATTTTTTTAAGAGACAGAGTCTTTACTTTGTTTACACTCAGTAGAGTGCTGTGGCATCACAGATCACAGCAACCTCCAGCTCTTGGGCTTAGGTGATTCTCTTGCCTCAGCCTCCTGAGTATCCGGGACTACAGGCACTCGCCACAATGCCCAGCTATTTTTTTGTTGCAGTTTGGCCAGAGCGGGGTTTGAACCCACCACTTTTGGTATATGGGGCCAGCGCCCTACTCACTGAGCCACAGGCACCACCCTATTTTATTTTATTTTATGTTTTTTTTAGACAGAGCCTCAAGCTGTCGCCCTGGGTAGAGTGCTGTGGCATCACAGCTCCCAGCAACCTGAGCTCAAGTGGTTGTTTTGCCTCAGCCTCCCAAGTAGCTGGACTACAGGCTACTTTTTGGTTGTAGTTGCCATTGTTGTTTGACAGGCCCCGGGCTGGATTCAAACCCGCCTGTTCAGGTGTATGTGGCTGGCGCCTTAGCCACTTGAGCTATAGGCACCACGCCTATTTTTTATTTTATCTTATTTATGTATTTTTTCTTTTGAGACAGGGTCTCACTGTGTCACCCTTGGTAGAGTGCTATGGCCTCACAGCTCACAGCAACCTCAAACTCTTGGACTTAAGCAATTCTTTTGCCTCCGCCTCCCAAGTAGCTGGGACTACAGGTCCCCACTACAATGCCCAGTTATTTTTTGGTTGTAGTTGTCATTGTTGTTTGGCAGGCCCAGGCTGGATTCGAGCCCACCAGCTCCATTGTATATGGCTGGTGCCCTAAGCTGCTGAGCTACAGGTGCTAAGCCTGGGTTTTTATTTGTTCTTATTGTTGAGACAGAGTCTCAAGCTGTCGCCTTGGTAGAGTGCTGTGGCTTCACAGCTCACAACAACCTCAGACTCTTGGGCTTAAGTGATTTTCTTGCCTCAGCTTCCCAAGTAGCTGGGACTACAGGCACCTGCTGTAATACCTGGCTATTTTTTGTTGTCATTGTTCAGCAGGCCCTGGCTGGTTTCAAACCTGCCAGCTTCAATGTATGTGGCAGGTGCTATAACCACTGCTACGGGCACCAAGCTTGGGATTTTATTTTTAAATGTTGCAATTCTGATATTGGGGAGGAGCCCAGCTATTTTTTTGTTGCAGTCAGAGATAAATGCAATCCTTCCTGGTGTGATTATCAGGCTAGTAGGCCTTTTAGAGTGTTATGTCAGCATGACCAGATCTTCCTGGTTAGATTGACAGGTTTGCCCTCTCCTTCCTGTCCTACCAGGTCAGATGGACAATCGGAGCAAGCTCCGGAACATTGTGGAGTTGCGCCTGGCAGGCCTAGACATCACAGATGCTTCCCTACGGCTCATCATCCGCCACATGCCCTTGCTGTCCAAGCTCCACCTGAGTTACTGTAACCACGTCACTGACCAGTCCATCAACCTGCTCACTGCTGTCGGCACCACCACCCGAGACTCCTTAACTGAGATCAACCTGTCAGGTGAGTCAGGAGCCCCCATCAGGTCTGCCCCACCCTGTGGGATGGTTTAGGACTTCCACATTTGTTGAAAACTGTTTGTATGCCCACAATTATGTGGTTACAATGCTAATTGTGAGGACATGCCAACAAATGAGACAGGCAGCCCAGTCTAAAGGGGAAACATATGTTAAAAAAAAGTTACTATTGGTATTGTAATAATTGCTACCAAAAAATATTACTAATAGCAGTGCAAACACAAAACAGTGGTTCCTGGCCCGAAACATGGGTTAGGTATAGGTTTCTAAGGGAGTGCAGCCAAGCTAGTCCCTGACAGCCATGGTGTAGGGATAGCAGTGAGCTAGGAGGTGAGGGCCACAGTAAGCAAGGCTGTGACCCATAATGAATGAGCAGACGGAAGCTTGGTTTTTGTCTTTGTATAATATTTTGTGTGTACCCCTCATGCTTCTACTATCAAGGGGCCTGTTCAAAGCGACAACTCATAATTCCGTTGTTTTGTGTCTGTCACATACGCTGCCAAAGCTGCACTTGCCCGTTTGCTGGTTCTAAAGGACTTGGGGCCCTCTGTATGGTGAGGCTAACCCAGACAGTGTTGCTCATTCTTAGCGTAGCTAACCCAGTTTTGGTCTGGTAGCTTAGGATGGTCTGATTTGGGATGTGAGGTTTGGGTGAGACTCTCAAACAGAAAGAGAAAGAAACTTGGGTTTTTCCCTGAGAAACTACCCTCAGTACTAAAGTACTAAAGAACACCCTCACTTTATTTGTGTTTTAACATAGCATGGTCATGTTTTGCAGCATCTGGATTCACCGGCTCTTTAGGTATTTGCTCTTTTCCAAGTCCCACATTCCATCTAATAAACACTTCTATCAGCCATGCTGTATCCCAGGCATAGGGGAGATTTGAAAGGGTTTAGACCTATGTCCCTAGGAAGCCATTTTTCCTGCTTGTGAAGTTTTGGTGAAGGATTTCACCCGTGCAGGAAAAAAAGAGTCATAGTGAAGTGAGCTTTTGACACAGTGACACCAGCACAAGGCTGGAACTGGGAGTGGGAACTGCCCTTGAGAGAAGGGCCTATGAGGTGGCTTGTTTTAAGCTCTTGATCTTGTGAACTCTTTTCATTCCATTTTAGTTTAATTATTATGGATGGGTAGCAGAAATTCAGTATAAATCCCCTCTTCTGCAGTGCACATTGTGTGTGTGTGTGTTGAGAGAATCATTTGTATTTTGTTTTCTACAATGAATGGTGGTCATCCTTTCATCCCAGTACACACAGCTATGTTCTTGCCAGTAGCTGTGAAGTGTATTAAGGTGTGTATCTGTACCCAATTCCTTCTAGACTTTTTATATTTTTTTAGACTTTCTTCCCCTCCCACTAGTGTAACTAGTCTAGTTCATGATAAAATAAGTCTGTGCCACAAAATAGGTGATAGTTGACGTCTTTCAGAATCCATAAACTTGGTTGGAGGATCTGGTCTCCAGACAAGTGAAGGTGTAGTGCTGGCTGTTATTCAGGCTGAGTCATTGTAGATGTATTTATTGGGTGCTCAGGGTAGCTCCCGGCCCTTTCCTTTCCCACACTGATCCACACCACTTGAGGAAGCATCTTAAACTCTTGAGCTCTTTCTTCCAGTGTTCACCTCCACATTTTAAAATAACAAACCTGTGTTGTGATTTCCTATTTATTAGCTTACTGCCATAGAAAATGGGGGTTTACTATTGCATCCTTTCCCCTTCCATCCATCTTTCTTCCATCTTTCTAATTTTTGGTTAAGTCACTATTAAGTTTAAGTACTGGTCAAAGGTGGGCCAGATAGTGTATTACATGACATGTTTCTTCTTTTGCATAATCTTTTTTTTTTTTTTTTTTGGCTGAATTGAATTGAATAGAAAATTCTCCTCTTCCCCCAACCTCCAAACTTATAAGTCCCCTGAACAGTTTCTGTAGCCCCTCCTGGACTTCTTTCTCTTCTCCTCTTCTGTTGTCTCCTTCTAGACTTCTGCTCTCAGCAGGGCAGGCCACCTTTCCCTGCTGCACCATTACCACCACCCTGGGCCTTTTTTCCACCACCATCCTGGAATTCCCTAGCTCTCTATCTTGTCCTGGGGGCGGGAGGGGCCTCATTTGATCTCATATTTTTCTTGGTTTAATCTTACATTTGGTGGAAGATGTCTTTAGACGTTCCATGTCTGAAAACATTTTTGTTTTGTTGTTTGTTTTGAGACTTACTCTGTCACCCTGGGTAGAATGCCATTGCATCGTCATAGCTCACAGCAACCTCAAATTCTTGGAATAATCCTTTTACCTCAGCCTCTTGAGTAGCTGAGCTCACCATGCCAAGCTAGTTTTTCTATTTTTTTGTAGAGATGAGGTTTCACTCTTTTTCAGGCTGGTCTTGAACTCCTGAGCTCAAGCAATCCTCTGACCTCGACCTCTGAGAGTGCTAGGATTACAGGCATGAACCACCTTCCCTGGCCTGAAAATGTTTTTATTTTTTAATTTTAGTCAGGCAATTTTTTTTTATTATTAAATCATTGCTGTGTACATTAATGCAGTCATGGGGTACAATGTGCTGATTTTATATGCAATTTGAAATTTTTTTAATTTTATTTGAGACAGAGCCTCAAGCTGTCCCCTGGGTAGAGTGCCAGTGGCATCAAAGCTCACAGCAACCTCCAACTCCTGGGCTCAAGCGAGTCTCCTGCCTCTGCCTCCCAAGTAGCTGGGACCACAGGCACCCACCACAACGCCCGGCTATTTTTTGGTTGGAGCCGTCAATGTTGTTTGGCGGCCAGGGCTGGATTCGAACCCACCACCTAAGGTGTATGTGGCTGGCGCCTTAGCCACTTGAGCCACAGGCACCGAGCCCAATTTGAAATATTTTAATCAAACTGGTTAACAGCCTTCATGGCATTTTCTTAGTTATTATGTTAAGACAATTATATTCTACACCTAGTAAATTTCACATGTACCATTGTAAGATGCACCATAGGTATGGTCCCACCAATTACCTTCCCTCCACCTATCCTCTCCCCAATTACCCTCCCTCCCTCTATCCTCCTCCCTCCCTCTCCCCTTTCCCTTCTTCTTAGGCTATAATTGGGTTATAGCTTTCATATGTAAGCTATAAATTAGTTTCATAGTAGGACTGAGTACATTGGATACTTTTTCTTTCATTCTTGAGATACTTTGCTAAGAAAAATATGTTCCAGCTCCATCCATGTAAACACGAAAGAGGCAGAGTCTCAAGCTGTTGCCCTAGGTAGAGTGCTGTGGCGTCACAGCTCACAGCAACCTCAACCTCTTAGGCTTAAGCAATTCTCTTGCCTCATACTCCCAAGTAGCTGGGACTACAGGTGCCTGCCACAAAGCTCGGCTATTTTTTTTGTTGTTATCATTGTCATTGTTGTTTTAGCTGGACTGGGCCAAGCTCCAACCCACCAGCCTTGGTTATGTGGACAGCACCCTACCCACTGAGCTACAGTTGCCGCCTGAAAATGTATTTATTATACCCCCACATTTAGTTACTGATTCAGCTAGGTATAGAAAGCAAGTTTGGGAACCATATCATTTCAGAAACCATTCTCTCAGAAAGTGGAGACGTTTTGCTCCACTGTCTTCTGCCTTCCAGAGATGAAGTCTAAAACCATTTGATGCTTTACCTGTTAGTGAATCCATTTTCTATCATTGGAAGTTTGTAGGAAGTTGTCTTTGTTTCTAGTTGTCTGCAAGTTTGTTTTGTTTTGTCTGTAAGTTTTGGTTAAGGGCTTTTGTTTGAGTTTTTTATCCACCATGCTGCACACTGGTATGAGCCCTTTCAATCTGGAAACCTATGTCCTTTGGTTCTGGAAAAGTTCCTTGAATTCTTCTTTAATTTCCTTGAACCCTTCTCTATTTTCTTTGTGCTTTAATCTTCATATCTTCTTTTTCTTTCTTTTTTTTTTTTCCAGTTTTTGGCCGGGGCTGGGCCTGAACCTGCCACCTCCGACATATGGGGCTGGTGCCTCCTCGTTTGAGCCACAGCCACCCTCTTCTTTTTCTTTCTTTCTTTTTTTTTTTTTTTTGAGACAGAGTCTAACTATGTCGCCCTGACGAGGTGCTGTGGCATCACAACTCATAGCAACCTCCAGCTCTTAGGCTTAAGCAATTCTCTTGCCTCGGCTTCCCAAGTAGCTGGGACCGCAGGCGCCCGCCACAACGCCCGGTTATTTTTTATTGCAATTGTCATTGTTGTTTTAGCTGGCCTAGTCTGGATTTGAACCCTCCAGCCTTGGTGTATGTGGCTGGTGCTGTAACCACTGTGCTATGGGTACTGAGCCCTTTTAATATCTTTTTGTTTCTTCTGTTTCCTTCCCTCCTTTTCTTTTCTCCCTTCCCTTCTTTTCTTTCTTTTCTCCATTCCTCCTTTTCTTTCCTTCCTCCTCTCCTTTTTCCTCTCTCTTCTTTCCTTTCACTCTTCCTTCTTTTGTTGAATTTTTTTAATTAGTTTACAAGTTGATACATTTTTAAAATTAAAGCTTGAATCTGTATAGAATTCTATCTCGGTTTTTTTTGCTTGTTTGCTTGTGTTTTTGAGACAGTTGCATTTTGTTGCCCTTGGTAGAGTGTCATGGTGTCACAGCTCACAGTAACCTCAAACTGTTGGGCTCAAGCAATTCTTTTACCTCAGCCTCCCCAAATAGCTGAGATTATAGGGGTCTACCACAACGCCTGGCTATTTTTAGAGATGAGGTCTTGCTCTTTCTCAGGCTGGTCTTGAATTCCTGAGTCTAGGCAATCCACCTGCCTCAGCCACCCAAAGTGCTAGGATTACAGGTCTGAGCCACTGTGCCTGGCCAAGAATTCTATTTTGTTATCAGGTAGGAGTTCACTGCACCTTTATCACTGCACCAAGGTTTGATATTCTTAATTCTTTCTTGAATTTTTTTTTTTTACTGTTAAAAAGACTGAAGAACACTGTCTTTGTTTAACCCATTATTGGCCTATCCATAATGTTCTCCACATCAAACATAGAAAAATTGGAAGAATAGTATAGTCAACACACGTTAGTGTGCATTTTCTATGTATAAGGACATTCATCACGTAACTGCACTATCATACCTAAGAGTTAAACAACCAAATGCACTATCTTTTTTCTTTTGAGACGGAGTCTCACTTTGTTGCCCTTGGTAGAGTGCTGTTGTGACACAGCTCACAGCAAACTCAAGCTCTTGGGCTTAAGTGATTCTCTTGCCTTAGCCTCCCCAGTAGCTGGGTCTACAGGCACCCATCATAACGCCTGGCTATTTTTATTTTTGGTTGTAGTTGTCATTGTTGTTTGGCAGGCCCAGGCTGTATTCGAACCCACCAGCTTCTGTGTATGTGGCTTGCACCCTAGCCACTGAGCCCTCATTCTTGATTTGGATGGAAGATGAGAGAACTGATAAGGATGCTGACAGAAGTGATATTCCTCCCCAGGCTTGTGGTCAGGCAGGTCGTAGGCCCCTGCAGGGAACTCTGATACCAAGGGACTTCCTAGAGGAAAGTCCTTTCCACCCACCTTCCTTAATGGAAGGATCTTTGGGCTCCATTTTCAGGGACTGTTTGAACCACAAGCCAGGAAGAATACTTGGTGGGCATGAATGGGTCTTTAAAATAGGGGCCAAAGCTATCTGCTCAAAGACAACTCAGAAAAGGAGCCAGTAGAGACTTCAAGTGCTAACAGGTAACACAGCCAGGATGCACTTGAGGCTCCCTCAGCCATCTGACAACAGCAGTGTGTGGCAACATGCCAACTGGATGGCATAGTTCTCCTGCGTGTGAACTGCCTGCTCTGGTGTTTGAAGGTACCAAGGGAGAGGCAGGCTTAGGTCAGGCTCATCTAGCTGGGAAGTGAGAGAGTATTTCAGAAGAACCTCTGTGCTGGTAGTAGAAGGAGGTGGTGGCACAGCAGGATCTGAGTGGAGAATAAGGTACTTTCTGAGGATGAACAGTGCTCTGGAAGACAGGTGGGAATCTGGGAAATGGAAGGATGACAGGGATGGCAGCCAGATGAGGGGAGCTCCAGCAGGGAGCTCGGGGCCACTCTGTCTTGTGCATGTGCCCTGACTAGCAATTCCATGGCCTGGAACTCACCCTGACGAAGATGATGTCTTGCCAAAAAAGTATGACCTGGCCGGGCTCAGTGGCTCATGCCTGTCCATTCTAGCATTCTGGGAGGCCAAGGTGGGTGGATAGCTTGAGCTTATGAGTTCGAGAGCAGCCTGAGCAAGAGCAAGACCCCATCTCTACTAAAAATAGAAAAACTGGCTCGGCACCTCTGGCTCAAGTGGCTAAGGCGCCAGCCACATACACCTAAGGTGGCGGGTTCGAATACAGCTCAGACCTGCCAAACAACAACAGCTGCAACCAAAAAATAGCCGGGCGTTGTGGCGGGCGCCTGTGGTCCCAGCTACTTGGGAGGTGGAGGCAGGAGACTCGCTTGAGCCCAGGAGTTG